ACAAGCCGTGGTTAAGACAGCTGACGTGCTATGATTTCTGACAGGCAGTTCACTCTCCTTTGATGTGACCCTGTTCCCCTCACACACACACACACACACGACGCGTTACTCTGTGCTACGCAAAACTCCGCATTTGAAAAGTCAATAGCAAATACTTAAACTGATAAAAAAACATACTTACAGTCGCTGATTCAGAAGCGCCAGATTGTCATAGCAAAGTCGGAATTGACCCCTGTGAGTTCATTCTAGTATAATCAAGCGTTACATATTTTTTAAAAAACATTTATATATTAAAAATAAACAAAAGCAAAACATGCAGAATTATTATTATTATATAAAATTATATTGTTACAATATTACATTATATTTAACAATAAATGGAGTATAATTACATAATTTTAATTTTTGTTAATTGTATGAAGTTTTTTTTAATTATTGTTTTTATTAGTATTAATAGTAACAGTAATAAATTAATAAATTATAATTTATTAAGATATATTTTAAAATTATATATAATATATAGAAATACATATAATTCCATAATATTAATTATTACTATTATTTAAATGAAGTATTAAATATTTTAAAAAATATTATTATTTATTAGTATTATTGTTGTTGTTTAATTATTATTAATACATTATTATTTATTAAGATATATTTTAAGAACCTATATATATATATATATATATACACATTATTTATATATTCATTTATATATTATACTGTAATATATATTATCATTATTATAAAATGATATTGTAAATGTTGTTGCACAGTATGTATTAGAGCGTATGTATTAAAAAATATACATATAATGTGTATACTATTAGGGATATGCCGGTATCAAATTTTCATGTTGCGATTAATTGCTAATGTTTTTATCACGGTATACGGTATTAGATTTGAGACTTTAGTCTTCTTTAGTCTTCTTTTGCACCAAGAGCTTGTAACACTCCAAAGAGAAAGGAAAAACTGAAATCGCATCATATGACCCCTTTAAAAATATTTAAAAACTTAAACTTATTTTATTTCAGCTAGTTGCCAACGCATCATTTGTCATGTTCATGCAGTTTAGCTTGATGTATTGAAGTAAATAAAACTTTAAAAAGTAATAAAAACTATACAGATGCACTGTAAAAAATGACCGTGAATTTAACGGTAAAATACTGTAAAAATGCTACAGTAAAAACTTGTTAAATGGTTAACGGTAAATTCCCCTACTATATACGGTGAAAAACTGTATTGGACATTACATGTATTGGACATTAATTTTACGGTAGTCTACTGTTTTTGGAAGTGAAAAAGACAGTACAAAACAGATTTCAGAACTTCAATAGGTTGGTATATTAACATTAGATCAGTTAATGAAATTACGGTATATAACTGTAAATTTAAGTTAAAACCGTAAAACCTAAAACGTTGCTACCGTATTTTTTATGGTAAAATTCCGGCAACCACAGCTGCAGGTTTTTTACCGTAAATTTTACGGAATTTGTTTTACATTGCAGCCATTATTCCTGGTTTTCAATAGACATTATTATCATTGTTTAAAACAGTTTTTGTTGTTAATATTGATAAAATGTCATTGAAGACATTTATAATGTTACAAAAGATTTCTATTTTTAAAAAATGCTGTTCTTTATAACTTTCTATTCATCAAAGAATATACACATTATTTATATATTCATTTATATATTATACTGTAATATATATTATCATTATTATAAAATGATATTGTAAATGTTGTTGCACAGTATGTATTAGAGCGTATGTATTAAAAAATATACATATAATGTGTATACTATTAGGGATATGCCGGTATCAAATTTTCATGTTGCGATTAATTGCTAATGTTTTTATCACGGTATACGGTATTATAAATTTAAGTTAAAACCGTAAAACCTAAAACGTTGCTACCGTATTTTTTTACGGTAAAATTCCGGTAACCACAGCTGCCGGTTTTTTACCGTAAATTTTACGGATTTTTTTTTACTGTGTATAAATAAGTCGCTTTTCTAGCTAAACACAAGAACAGACTTGTTTTTAAACTAAAAAAAAAACAAAACTGCTGTGTCACAGATTTTGCATTGCTCAAAATTATGATTAAATAGGATAATTGTGGACAAGGTGCTGAAATTTCTATGAAATAACATAATCCCATCACCGGATAATAAATGCAAAGCCATGCACACACTTTACCATCATCCGTGATAAGAACACAGATCGGTCATTACCTCCACCGCCCGCTGGACCTCCCTAATGAGCTGGTAATGACAAGCCTCTTAATTGTTATGTTAATCAATTAAGCCAAAGGATCTTGGCAGAGGATTTTGGGACACAAGCGCTCTTTGTTGTTGTGGAAGGTCACGCTAGATTGAGTTACAGGTAATCAGTTTCACTCTCTGCACAAACTCAATCCACACGCCAAACGCATCGGAATTAGGACAAAACTGAAACAATTCTATTACTTCTGTCTACACTTGTTGGGTCAACTATTACAACACATCAGAATCACTGAGCAAAACATCTTAAAAGGAACCTGGAAGCCTACAGCACCATCCAAATGTGCAGCAATGCTACTTTAACTGTAAGTAACTAACGCCAGGTACTGCAAACTGAGAAGCAGCAGAGAATAAAAAAAAAATAGGTGACGAGAAAGTGTTACAACATATGATAGCTGAACATTATGTTTTGAGGTCATCAATCTGGTCATAAAGAGTGCATATTTCTCGTTAAAGGATCCATGCTATGCTTCCGATATCAATATCTATAGTGTTCTATAATGTTTTGAAATCTGTTCTGAAATGTGCTGTAATGTGCCACTTAATTGTGTATCTAAAATTTGTCTTCAAACACTAATATATGCCTTTGAAATCTGACTAAAATGTTGTGCCTCTGAAATCTGCCTCTGGAATCCTTTGCCTCTAAAATCTGCAGCTGAATTGTTATATCTGGAATTCACAGTGCCTCTGAAAACTGCATCTACAATAACATCTCTATCAATCACTAGTTGTTTCAAAAATGTTTGATGTTGTTTCTTGGTCTCTAAAATCTGCCTCTGTAATCGCAAACTCATTCCGTCTGCGCTAGTGTGATCCTGTCAAACAAGCGTTTCTTACCCTGAGCAATAAACGCGCATATGGAGTCATCCACCGCAGCTAACGCGCCGCATGTAAGTCCATCAAAGTCAGAGACGAGAGAGAGGAGCTCTGAATCCAGACTGAAAGCGCACACCTGCTCTGCTCGGTTCTTGTCTGCTGAGCCGACTCCAGATAAATGGACTATGCCAGTGCGCGGCACCACCCTTTCCTCTTGGGTCAGTGGCTCTCGTGTAGAGCTAGAGAGCTATTGAAATAGCATTGCGGTAAAACTGTCTCTTTACACATGACGAAACGCCTCTCAGTGTCGGCTCGAGGAGGAGAAGGAGGAGACGGGAACGCAAGATCACATTCGTTGTGCATACTCAAACCGACGCGACGCTTGCGCGTATGAGCACGTGAGGTTAGTCCTTCATAGAGACTTCATCCACACATCATCCAGTCGTTGCTTGTTGCTCAGGGAAGAGGAGTATTTTATAGCACAGCCTGTGAGATGGAGAGCAGCGCCGCGCATTGGTCCCTCACAGATTCTCAGTAGTCATGGCAACCAGAACACTTCAATCAGCGCGCGGGCTCAGGAGATGTGATACGCCGAGGTCACCTCTGCCACTCAAGGGCAAAAAGAGCGCACTGAGCTGATGTCAAAATCTCTAAGTTTGATGAAAAGTACCTCAGAATATTATTGCTAACGTTTGACTTGCCATCAGTATAGGCATACTAATCTTCTATAGGAATGTGGAGTTTGAAATGTTTTTTTTTTCTAAAGAACCAGATCCCACAGAGTGAATACAGGCAAAGTGTGACAGCGTAATCAACTTTAATAATGTATATTCTTCCATTACTAAACATCAGCTTTTAAATCACTCTGAACTGACACAAAAGGGCTTCTTTAGTTCTGATATCATTTCTGACAACATGTTATAGCATGTTTGGCCTGCAGTGCTGGGAAACACTATGATATACAGTGACAAAAAGCCTTTTATAGCCATAAATCAGATTTTACTAAAATAATTTTCAAATTAATATTTACTACTTCTTTCATGCAACTTTGAAAGTGTATTGGCAAACTGGTATGTGTTTTGTAAATTGGGACGGCATTTATGTCATTTTTTTTATTTGACCATCAGAAATATTATCTCTAGCTCTATAGTTTATAGAGGGTTAAGACCATGTGTTATTTAAATGCATTCTTATGATATCTTGTTGGTAATTATTATTTTTATTATTATTATTATTATTAAGAAAGACACTAAAGGGAAGAATAGGCCAGGACAGCAGTCAGAAAAAAATGAATGGAATCTAAATTTGTAAATCTTATACGAATATTATTATTATGCATTTTATTGATTGCATAGAAAATAAAACATTGCTGTATTCTAGTTGTCCTACTTTATAAATGTGTCCCAGTTTGTCAAACTGTGATTTGGGGTCTGTGCGTTTTGAAGAATTTCAAGTTTATGTATTTCATATTTCTAAATATTTAAATAGTATTTTGTGGGGGCCTAACCATTTGGACTATATTTTAAAACAATGCCAATGATAAATTAAAACAAAGTGTCCCACTACCTATAATTTCTATGTCTTATAAATTGGACATAATTTGCTTAAATAGAAAAAAAAAAACATCACTAATATGATTTGGATATGCACCCACTCTATAAAAAGTGACACTGTGCCATTATTACCATAAAGCAAACGCAGTTCATTTAGTGGTTACTGTTTGTAGCACATTTTTTAGGTTATGTTACAAAATATCTTTTGCAGTGCAAATAGTGCACACATTAAACAAATCTCGCAAGCGCGCACACACAATAATATATTATTCAGTGGCAGCATGGTGGGTTTCCCTACAATTTGACCTACATATTAAAAGACCAAGTCATACAGCATCCCTCACAAATACACATCTACTAAACCAGACAGACCTCAGAAATGCAAAACCAGACAAACCAAACTTCACAAAGTATTTACTTATTTATGACACTAGTAGACTATATATTCACCTTTTAGAGCCCCTGTGCATTATGAGCACTGATAGCAACAGGAATACATTAATTCATTCAGAGCAGCTATTAACTGGAATTCTGATAGCTTATCTTACCGTGTATACAGGATTTAGAACTAACTGAATGGTTTCATCTTTGCCAGTGTATAATTATAATGTCACAGCCACAGAGAGGAGTCTGAAAGCTAATATTACAATGCATCTCATTATCCTTTTTTTCCTAATTATTTGCAAGATTGCTCATGATCTATTTGCCATGCAAAGTAATGAAATTTATCTTGTTCTTACACATGCTAAATCATATTAAATGACATATTTATTGCTTTGGATTTTATTAAAATGTTATCACATTGCAAAATGTATCACATAACACTAAACAGTGTTCACACTCTGATCCTCACACTAATGTATAACAAGTTGCTGTCATTCTCCCTCTTAGTCAGCCATAGTTAGGGAATATAATATAAAATAATATAATATAAATTACAACTGCACTGTTTTGGCAGTCACTGGTACATGGCGAGTCTAGGGGCTTTATGGTGAGATGCCACGCTCTCATTAAATTTTAAAATGTTTTTCCACAGAAGACATTTAGCTATGGTCTGGTGGGATTCAGAAAGACAGTAGACATAGGACAGCTTTGTCAGGGTTTCATGTTATTAAAGTATCTTAGCCATGCATTTTACAGCAAACAGCACGGGACTTGTCTATTTTTACAAGAACTGTTTTCTAAAATATTTTAAATATGAAAACATTGCCTCCTTATAATAATAATTTCATAAATGCAATAAGGAGAAATAAGAAGAGAGAGCATTTACAGTGATATTTCAGCTCTGTCACAAATGCCCCACTGTACTGCTATGCTGGCGTGGAGACTCAGTCTCAAATACCCCACATCAGTAACACCTCGTACTACTGCAGATCAAAGATGTCCAAATATAATCTCTTCACTCATAGCTGATCTTTGCAATAGAATATGATTGTTGTGTGTATGTGTTTAGTCTTAGCAGCTAGGAATGTCTCTTGGTTATCTGAACTGGAAAATTCACCATGACATTGAGGGGATGTTTTCGAGGGTCCAGTCATCAACACATGGGACCCCAACGGGATTAGACTGCAAGGGTGTATGTGTATATAAATATTATTTAAAAACACTTAAAAAGGTGGGGTAACACTTTAAGGTCCCAGTAAACAATAGTGCATTAGTTGATGCATTAAATGAGCAATACATTTGGTACAGTATCTATTCATCTTTGCTAACAATAATGAATTACAATACAACTGTACATTTGTTAGTTCATTTTAGCTCAGGTACATTAAATTAAATATTATTTAATTAAATAAATAATATTAATTAACAGATACAACTTTTGATCTTAATAATGCATGAGTAAATATTGAAATTAACATTAACAAGAGGAATTTTTCTTTGCTAGTTCATGTTAATAAATGCAACACTTATTGGTAACCTAGATAGTAACCAAGTGAGAAGTCTGCTTATTAATTGCTTGTCTTTGCTTGCGTTTTCCCTCATTTGAAAGTTGCTTTGGATAAAAGCATCTGCTTAATAATTAAATGTAAATATAATGCAAAGGTATATATATATATATATATATATTCCTAGTCCTAGCTGGTAAATGCTAGTTTACTGTAGCTGTTGATTGCCAGTAAGACTTGAAATTTAACTTGAAAAAACATCCAAATGACCATGTTTTGCTGGTTAGGCTATAGTTCAGAGGTTTGGGGAGGGACACTAGCAGTGTTGGGGGTAACTCATTACAAGTAATGCGAGTTACGTAATCAGATTACTTTGTGCCTCTTTATTAGTAGCTGGGTTAAAACCAAGCTAGTTTACCTCATTTACATTGTGGCTTAGTATACACCTGCATGAGTAGACACATACACACACAGCACATCACATGTCACAGCCCACCACTTACAGCATGACGTCGTGCACTAGCCTCTAATTATCTCACATGTGAGCACCAAAAATACCACGGAACGTGGCTTGCATGCACCTTCTATTCACACATACACACACACACACAGCCACACTTTGCTGCATCTGCATATGTGATGAAATACACAGGAAAAAAATAACACCCTTATCTCCCGCTACTGTTCACTTTACATTCCCTGCACTTGATAGTGCGGCTTTATCTCTGTCTGCTTAGCTTTAGCCACATAGTATTCTAGACAGGAACATTCCAGCATGATGTAATTTTTCTAAGAGTAATGAATGGATTCAAGAGCACTTCAACTCACCTTTGATCTTGAGATGGTGGAATCTTTAGGCTACTGAATGTGCACTCAGTTTTGTATGTTGTGCTCACCATTATGGCAGCCATCTTGGACTTTAGACAAGCAGATTTCAATAGACAATGGCATTGTATAAATGCAATACTCAGTGATTTTTTTTTTCTGTAAACAAGAGTGTGAAATAACAGGGGTTTCTCAAAATTCAGCTTGTCATGTGATCTCAACATGGCAGCCCCTATGCAGCATCCTGCTCAATGTAAAAAAATAAAATAAAAAATGTATTAGACTTCTGATCTGAATGGAGTCTCATAAATGTACATGATTTAAAAAATATTTTTCTAAAGCAATTATTGTATTTGAACACACACAGAAATGCAGTTTATTCATTAAACTAGCTGCAATTCAGTTTATATGACAAATTATTAAAGAGGCTGAGATGAAAGACAGGGAGAATATTTTGGCACTGTTCATTAAAAAAATCCTGTAATGGTCGAGCACTACCTCTGTCCTCAGTTGATTAATTTGGTGTCTTTTGTCTTATTCTCTGCATTTGTTTCTGTCCTCCCCTTTGTCTATCACGTTAAACTTTATTGGCTCTGCATTCAAGCAGAATTAAACTGTGCAGTAATGATCTTGCACTAGCTGTATTGGAGTGGATTATCGCTCTCTCTCTCTCTCTCTCTCTCTCCCTTAATTTTTGCTCTCTCGGAAGCATTCTCGGTGCATTTAACTCGGAAGTTTAAATGCACAACTGCACCATGCAAATATCTTGGCATGTTTTGCACTGTTATTTTTAAGTTACTTACCTGCTTCTGAGTAAAACATTTTGTAAGATGAAGTTTAAAATAAAGTGAGATATGAAGTAACACTGTGAGGTATAGTGAAAAAGAAGTTGCAGTTGGGAGAGATAAAGTTACAATTGTGAATATAGAGGTGATAATTACTTTTTTTTTTAACTCTGAGGTGGAAACAGTTTCCATAGTTGCCTGTTTTCACTGTTACCTGATTAGCATAATTTCTTTAGTGAGTCAGGTGCTAAATCAACAGAGAGTGTGTTCAAATAAATAATGTTATCAGATGGCAAATTTCTGTCTTTGTGTTCTGATATTGTTAATTCTATTACAGTGGCCATCTGAATTATGACACAAAAGTATTGGGACCCTTTAGTCCTACACCACTAGTGTTACATAACTACCTTCTTACAGTAAACACACTCCTGCCAGTGTAAAGACCT